TGTGTATTCCTGGTGCCTGTGGATGTCAGATGGGGGTGTCAGATCTCCTGGAACTAAAGTTCCAGTTGTGAGCTGACTTGTGGGTGCTGGGAACTGAACCTGGGTCCTCTTCAGGAACATCAAGTGCTCTTACCTGCTGAACCACCCTATCAGCTCCAAAGCAAGTTTTCTAAAGGGAAATCCGAGGTTTGATCTGTGGCATGCTGAGTTGGAGATGATCTGGTGGCCATGCAGATAAAGCTGCAACCCCCCCCCCATGCCACCCCTCCCACCCATGCCACCCCTCGGTGGCTGACCATTCAGGTCTGGGATCCTTTGATGTGGGTGAGCTTGGGTGTCTGTCTGACACTATGCTGGGCTGATGGGCCTTTCCCAAGGGCAGGTGGTGCTGTAGCTGATGACTGGGACTGTGCGGTGCGGAGGGTCTGTTTCTGCTTTTATGACAGAGTCTCACAGAACTCAGGCTAACCTCCAACTTTCTATGTAATTGGAACGACCTTGAACTTGTGACCTTCCTGCCTCTATCTCCCCAGTTTGGGGATTGCAGGAATGTGCCACCATGTAGCACTGGGAATGGAACCCAAGGCTTTGTGCTTGTCAAGTACTCTACCACTGAGTCACATCTTTTTCGTTTCCTCCCTTGTGAGACGGATGTAATAGACTAAGAGGATCACTGTGGGGGAGGATGCTGAATGAGAGAGCAGCTAGAAGGCACCAGCACAGTGCCTGGAACAAAACAGGCACTTGATAGAGTGATTAAAAACACCAAGAACTGAACTGCACTGGCTCCCGCTGATGGGTCATCAAGTGAGTTCAGGGGATGGACTCGGGAGGGAGAAGGAATTCTAGAGCCTGGAGCCTGGGGGAGGAAGAAGGGGCACAACTTGGGAAAATGTGTGTAGAGCCGCCCACCTTTTGGGTTAGGGCTGAGCATCTGAGCGTCCCAGGCAAGAACTGGGAACTGGTTGGCAGTAGTACTCAAGTATTAACCAGCCTTCCCTCTTTAGTAGAGCCTCATCATACTGTCCCAGCTAGCCTGGAACTCTGTGTAAACCAAGCTGGCCTGCCTCCCGTGTGCTGAGCTTAAGGTGTATGCCAGCATCCCTGGCCAGTCCTTCGTTTTTTAAGACCAGGTCTTAGGAGAGTGGGCAGGAGATCCTGGATGCTGCCAGACCAGGTGGGTGTCCATGGATTGGTGTGTAGTAAGAATGTGGGCGTCAGCTTTTCCCTCTGCAGTTATGAACAGGTAGCTTCACCTCATTTTCCAGAATTGGGGAGAAGCTTCTGTGTCATAGCCTATAAGAAGAGGTGACAGTTTAACCTTGACACCCACGGTGGCTGAGTTCAAACTTCCAGAGAGAAACGCTAGGAAGGGGTGGCAGGCACGTGACATCTGAAAGCGGGGAGGGCCGAGCTAGGCACAGGGGTGGGGCAGCTGGCGGTGTGTGCCTTTGAGAGCAAGGCCTGCTTCATAAAAACCAGAGAATGAGACCCCATTCATGAGTAGGAAAGAGGGCAGAGCAACGGGAAGATACCTTTCCAGCTTCCTGCTACTCTTGGAGAGGGGAAAGTGAATGCTTTGGGCATGATCCTTTCTGTGGCAGCCTGCAAAAGTACCATTCACCACCATTCACACACACACACACACACACACACACACACACACACACACACACACACACACACGACTGCTTTGGCTTGGAGACCCTCAGGATCTTACTCAACGTCACCTAGATTGACAGTGTTAGGACCGGGATTGTGACCTAGCTTGGCTCAACAACAAAGGCTGTGGTCTTTCCTCTACACCACGCGGTCACTGTGACCCCAGGCAGCAGGGCGATGGACAGAATCAGATGACCTTTCCACGATCTCTTTCTAGCAGAAACATTCTCTGCATCTCAACGCCTTAGTCTCCTGCCTCTGCCCTTCCTCACCATCCAAACCGGAGTAACCCAGGGCTGTCTTCAGGGCTGGGAGAGGAGACCAGCTTTTCTGGGGACGGCTGTGGTTACTCACATTAACCCTCTGCCGCTTGCCCATCTCCCTCCCACCCCACCACTTTGTTGGCAAGGAACCACAGCCCAACCCCCACACACTGCCTCTGGCCGAGGGGCACTTCCACTTCCCGGAATTAGCCACCGCAAACAGCTGGCTCCAGGAGGGGGGTCGAGGAGGCTAACAGTTTCCAGATGTGCCAAGGCACCAGCGCCTAGGAGGCCTGAGGTCTCCTCCTGTGGCTGGGAGCTGGGGAGGCTGGCCTCAGATCAGGACTTCAGCAATGCCAAGGCAGCCAGGCAGATCCTCGCATGCAAACTGCAGGAAAGTTTCTGGGTGCAGGGCGATAGCAATGTCCATTCTGCACCTGCAGGGCCCTCTGGGGAAGCCCCAGCAACCTCAGCAGCTCTTTGTGGCCTGGACTCAGCCCAGACAGTCCCTAACAAAGTTAATAGCCACGATACTCTCTCACCTTCCTGCTCCGCCAGAGTGTGGCAATTTAGAGTACACCATACTTGGAGTCGAATCCCTGTGCAGCCTCTAACCAGCTTTGGGACCCACACCAGCTCAGCTCCCTTGGCCATGAAATGGTTTCTATGTCATGATGTCAGTGTTAGGATTATTAGGAGCTGGGGGTGTAGCTCAAATGGTAGAGAACTTACTTGGCATGCACAAAGCCCTGGGTTTGATTCCCAGAACTACAGAAAGCAGGCCACCACCTCTGTAGTCTTAGCACTTTGAAGGTAGAGTAGAAGAATCAAAGGTTCAAGGTCATCTTCAGTTACATAGTGAGTTCAAGGTCAACCTGAGCTATATGACACTATCTCAAAAAAAAAAAAAAGAAAAAGAAAAAATTATTAGAGCTAAATGGGAAAATCTATAGTAAGTGCTTATTACTGTACCTATTTCTTTCTCTCTCTCGTTCTCCCTTCCTTCCTTTTCTTTTCTTGTGTGTGTGTGTGTGTGTGTGTGTGTGTGTGTGTGTGTGTACATGTATGTAGAAGCTGGAGGATCTTTTTAAAAATTTTGATTTATTTATTTTTTTGAAGCTGGAGGTTCTTAAAGAGAACCATCCTGACTCATTCTTCTCCCTTACTCAGTGAGGCAGGGTCTCTCAAACCCAAAGCTCACTCGTATGGCTAGTTTGGTTAACCAGCTTGTTGTTGGGATTCTGTCTCTGCCTTCTGAGGCTAGAATTACAGGCGGGTCCCTGTGCTCATCCTTGCGTTGACTACAGCCACCAACATCCTCCACACTTCTAACATCCCTACCCCATGCTTGCAACGTAAGTATCAGAGAATATCTATTCTCTCCAAGGCACTCCGACTTTATCCCTGCCACCCTGGAAGTTAGTTCTCACATCTTCATTTTCAGGAGAAGACAGTGGAGCTCACCTCTCCAGGGCCACACTGGTATTCGTGTAGAGCTTTGACTTAGAATGTGAGTCAAATGGACCCTCAAGCATGCTCATGACCCCACACCCCTCCCAAGTACTTCTCTACCATTTTCTCATGAGAAGAAATCATGAGACCTTCTTGGGACTGAGGACATACTTCTTGCTCCACTCCTCTGAAGAGAGGCCCTTTTCAGAAGAATGGTCGACAGCTTGGGGACCCAAAGGGACTTGGAAGAAGAAGGCAGGTGCCTTAGAGGTGGACACTGGGGATAGGAGAGGGACAGGGGACAGGGAATCGAGATGTTGAGAGGAGTCCAGCTTGTCCTAGGGTGCCCTTCAGGAGTATCCAGGGCTCCTATGAGCTGATGGGCAGGGTCCACTGATTGCTCTGGCTCTGTGCTTCTTGCCTTGCCAGCTGCTGCTGCTCCTCTGCACGTCTTCTTCTTGGCTGGGGAGGGTGGTGGAGGGTCTCCAGAATTCCCCTTTGTGGGATGGGGAGGACAGGAGTCCAAGGAGGAGGAGAAGCCAGAGGGGGGTGGTGGGCAGGAGCCAGCCAGCAGGGAGGCCCGTCATTGGCCCAGCTCCCAGGGCCTGAGCCTGAAGAAGGATCCGCCTGCCCCTCACCCTTCCCTCCCCTGCCCCCCGGGCTCCTTGGCTGCTGAGCCTGCCAGCTGGGCCCATGCCAAGCCAAACGACTGCCAGGAGGAGAGGAAGAAGCATTTCCGAGCAGAGAGGCCCCTGTGGGCTCTGCTGCAGCCTAGAATCCCCCTTTCTCACCGCCAAGTGTAGAGAGAATATGCACACAACATAGGCATGCACGCTCCTGCATGGAGCCCAGGGTGGCTCTGTGGACAGGCTGAGGGCCCAGAGGCTGCAGGGCTCAGGGAACAGCTTGAAGTGGGGCCATGGTTGTACCAGGTGGCATGGCTTGGGGGAATCAGGTTTGGTTCACCCTGAGGTGGAGGATGGAATGGGTTGAATGTAAAGCTGGTGTTGGCATTTAAGCGAGTGACGCTATCTGAAAATAAATTCTTTGCAGATGCTACGAAGATAAGGATGGAGACGGGGTCCATCAAAGTGGGGTGTGTGCTCCGTCTGTGGGTGTCTTTGTAAGAAATGGATAGGAACACAGACAGACCCAGAGGTGAGGGCAGGTAAAGACAGACAGCAGAGTCTGCCTCTACTGACCCCGGACTTCTGACTCTGGTGTCAGAACTGTGATAATATGTTACTCTGGTCTTAAGCTGCTGTGTTGGTGGTAACTGTTACAGTAGCTGTGAAAAATGATGTTCAGAAGCATATGGCAAAAGGGTGGGACAGGGATTGGGGGAGGTGGGGCCTGGTGAGACAGCCTTGGAAAGCAAGATGAAACATAGCCATCATTTGCTGAGGCACAATTCTTACCAGGGTCCTTTGAAGGATATTTGTGTCAACCCTCACAATAACTCTGCCAGTAAGAATGATGATTCCAGGCTTAGAGTCAGGTTCAGACCCATGGTCACGCCATTTGCTGGGATTCTAGGTTCTTCTGTCTCCCGAGGTCGGCCTCTGGCCTCTGCCTTAGAGTCCTTGACACTTGAGTCTTGCCTCAAGTTGGAGGGATGCTCTCTCTAAGGTCTAAGAAGGGACTTGCTTGGCTGGGGAGCGAGGGCAGGCTGCCATCCAACTGCTCAGGGGTCTGCTCGAATGATTGCTCTGGGGAATTAGTCATTACTCTGAAGTCTCTGTATCCTCAGGGCCGTTGCTGATGTTCTATTTAGAGAGAGAAAGGAGACACCTCTATTCATCTCAAAACCATCACTGCTACAGTTATCACTAACCCCTGCCACTGATATCACCAGCATCCTAACACCTCTGCTATTATCAC